CCCCATCTCTGCCGCCACTACTCTGAACGCAGCCGAAATTTTCTCTTTTTTCCTCGCTCCCCCCAGTTCTGCCAACGTTCTTCCCAACATCGACGACTTCGGCAACTCTTTGGTTTCCCGCGACGTCAAGGGTCCCGGCAACTCTTCGGCTTCCCTCGACGTCGACGGTTCCGGCATCTCTTTGACTTCCCACAACGTCAACGATCCCAGCAACTCTTGGGCTTCCCACGACGTCGACGCTCCCGGCAACTCTTCGGCTTCCCGCGACGTCGATGGTCCCGGTAACTCTTCGGCTTCCCACGACGTTGATGATCCCGGTAAGCCTTCGGCTTCCCGCGACGTCGATGGTCCCGGTAACTCTTCAGCTTCCCGCGACATCGATGGTCCTGGCAACTCTTCGTGTGCTGGCGTTCTTTCCTGGTGATTCAAGCTCTCCTTTTGCTCCAGCTTTTTCTCCTTCTGCTCCTGCGTTTTACTCTTTTGTTCCGACGTGCATTCCTTTTGATTCGACTTTTTCCGCGTCGACTTTCCCATTTTATCTAAAGTATTCTACGTTAGATGCTTAACGGCCCTAAGACAAATGAAGAGAACTCTCCCAGTGAAGTTTCTATCCCTTTTCGCCTCACGACGGAATCACGCCCAAGATCTAATAACTATGAGCACAACCAAACCAAAAGCTTTTATCTAGAACCTCCGAAAATTCACAAGCCTTTGCCTGCCAATTTTACAACTCAAGTAAGAAGAGCGAAAGATCTCTGCAGTGCACTACAATTTAGCGCCGCTCGAAATCACTGAAATGAAGATATGGTGTGACAGTTATCTGAGATCACTGCACAGTAGAGCTTACAGAGTCACATTTGATCTACAAGGTTTGTGCTTAGATTTTTGTGCATTTCCAGTAAAACCTCATAAAAATAAAACATAAACACATAAACTTGATCTAATTTCTAGCACACAACAGTGCAAATATTGGCAGATAGACGATAAAATTTGTCTGATGATGTGTAGAATTCGGATAAAAATTATTTTGTGCAAAATTGAATCCAAGTCTGCAATCTGTAGTATGAACTGCTTAATTCTTGCTCAACATTCATCTGCTAATGCGCAAAAACATTGCGAAACGGTATGATTCTAGAAAAGATGATCATGCAGTGAACTACCTTCAAGTACCGTATTTCTGTTTTCTTCCCTACGCACATGAAATTTGTTATTTCGTTTTTATGCGTTTTTTACAGCTATGCAACGCAGAAAACGAATGTTGACAAAGGGTTATCTGTGTGTACGTCTGTCACCACTTTCATCTCAAGACCTGTAAAAGCTGCGGGCTGAAATCTCGGGAACTTAATTTACATGCACGTGCCGGTCCCAATCCTCAAAATGAGCGCCAAGCGTGGTGCCCGCGTATGGGCCCGCCAAAGTTTTTTTGGGGTAAGTTCATAACTCGGGGATCTGAGGAGCTAGAGCGCTGAGACCTTAGGGTAATGTTCCCCATCCAACTGGGCATTAATGCACTCAAACCCATTCCCCGGATAAGCGTGGTACCCACGTACGAGCCCGCCAAAATTTTTTTCGGGTAAGTTCATAACTCGGGGATCTGAGAAGCCAG